CCAAGAGAGAAACCGGCTTCTAATTAAAATTTTTTTTAAAGTTAACTTCATATTAAAAGTAATTTTAAAATTAAATATATATAATTCTTTGACTATTTAAACACTGAAGACGGAAATGATCTCTTTATTGCTATTCAAAAATGTCATAAATATAAAATACTGCGTACAATGATGTGTACACTCAGGTTAAAATGAATACCACTTTTATTTTTAATGAACTATATTTTATTTATATACAAAAATATTGTTAAAAAAACTATTCTGGCGTTTTAAAGTATTATCTGATACTTACATTCATAATATTACTTTGAATAAAAATGTACTGAAAAGTACTTATTTTCTTAGCATGAAAAATTCTAACGTACTCATTCCGCGCATAAAAAATCTGGCAACCCTATTTAGAATGGCTTCACTTAAGACAGCCTACCTAAATTTGCTATTGGTGGTACCTAACCGTGACGAGAATTTTGTTCTTTTATGATTAACAAATCCAGAACAAAGAAATACTTCTTATTTGTATTTATTTTTGGTTGTTAAGCTAAGAAGAGCGATACGGATAATTAATCGTTTTAATGTAAGTTCAATTGAATCTCTTTTTTGATTTGAGCTATCCTTCTTACAAACAAACTATTAAATTTTCAGTAAGAAAATTGTTGAAAATTTGAAAAAATTCGAATTAAATCGAATTGGTACCACCAAATTTCGCACCGAATAACCGAATGTTTAGGCAACGTTCGAAATTCGGAAAAAATCGAATTTAAACCCCCCATTACTCATTCCTATGATGGAGGTTAAATTTTTTAAAAATAATGCTGACGTTTTTTTGTCGAGTGTTGCTAGTTATCTCGAAAATAACTTTCAGTTTAATAACAACAAATTTGAATATTCAAATGGCTTTTGCCTATAACTAACAATTCTTTTTTCACCATATACTGACATAGTAAAAGAGTTTTGCATACAATACATAGAGTTAGACTCTTTTTAGCGAACTCCTAGTCTTTCAAAGTTTTTGCGTAGTTGAAAGAATTAATTTAAGCCATACGGAATTATAGATGAAGTCCTTAAATAGTGGTACTTTTCCACAGTTTGAAAAAATATGTAATTTTGTTTTTTTTTTTCAATACCACACTCAAACGAAGCAACTGAGATGATCTTAAGTATAGAGTTTGCTTCCTGGCGGCAAGAGAGAAACCGGCTTCTAATTAAAATTTTTTTTAAACTTAACTGCATATTAAAAGTAATTTTAAAATTAAATATATATAATTCTTTGACTATTTAAAAACTGAAGACGGAAATGATCTCTTTATTGCTATTCAAAAATGTCATAAATATAAAATACTGCGTACAATGATGTGTACACTCAGGTTAAAATGAATACCACTTTTATTTTTAATGAACTATATTTTATTTATATACAAAAATATTGTTAAAAAAACTATTCTGGCGTTTTAAAGTATTATCTGATACTTACATTCATAATATTACTTTGAATAAAAATGTACTGAAAAGTACTTATTTTCTTAGCATAAAAAATTCTAAGTACTGATTTCGCGCATAAAAAATCTGGCAACCCTATTTAGAATGGCTACACTTAAGACAGCCTACCTAAATTATCTTCAGAGTATGCATATACTAAATGGCAAACATGATCATAAAGCGCGCTGTAGGATATGCTTAAATTTGCTATTGGTGGTACGTCACCGTGACGAGAATTTTGTTCTTTTATGATTAACAAATCCAGAACTTGAATCACCAAAGCGATTTTGGCCGGGTCCAAAACAACACACCAGTCATTTCTCTTCTGTGCTAACTGACGCCAATTGGAAATGCCAAATGAAGCCAAGTCCTTCACCACCTGGTCTTTCCAACGCAGAGGAGGCTTTCCTCTTCCTATGTTACCAGCATCGCGGCCCGCGTTGCATACGTCCAGAGTAGGAGCATTTCTGTCCATTCGAAGGACATGGTCAAGTCATCGGAGCCGCTGAATTTAATTCGCTGCACTATGTTTATATCGTTGAAAAGCTCATACAGCTCATCGCTAAATCGTCTGCGGTATTCGCCATCGCCAACTCATAAAGGTCCGTAAATCTTTCGCAGAATTTTTCTCTCGAAAACTCCAAGAGCCGCTTCATCAGAAGTTTTCATTGTCCATGCCTCCACGCCATTCACCAGCACAGGCATGATGAGTGACTTATAGAGTGTGATCTTTGTACGACGATAGAGAACTTTACTTCTCAATTGCCTACTCAGACCAAAGTAGCACTTGTTGGCAAGAGGGAGTCAAAAAATTGAATATTGAGAAAATTTACTATTTTACGGTTTATTTTATTCTCCCATTCTGCCTGTTGTTAGTGTTTAGTGTTGGACAATTTTTGCTCTTAAAATTAAGAAAATTATCTCGAGCAAAAATAAAACTACTCAAAAACGCGAATATGTGGTAGATTTCAGACCTTGTGTGGTAGATGCTCAAAAAAGTGGCAGATCTGCCACAATGTGGTAGATGTCCGATCACTGCTACTCACCCTCTCTTCGTCGATTTGGCAGCATCCGCACATTCGCTGACGTCACACAATACTTTTGTTTACATTCACTGTTGCCAACTTGATGCTTTTCGCCCCAAATTTAGTGGGTATTCAAAACGCGAACATTTTTGAGTTTGGTGCGTTGTGCGTTTTTGGTGCTTTTGTTTTTAGTTTGAAGACACCAAATTTGAAAATGTTAAAAAAATGGAAGCAAAATTTATAGCAATCGTAAGTGTGGTAAGCAACTTTGAAAAATGTAAACAAAATAATGGCACAGTGACACTCATAAGCGACAACAAAATATGTGGCAGCACCTTCAATCAATGCCAGAAGAAATCGACCATCGTACAAGAAACATTGATTTTTATTAATTTGAATCGGATTATTACAATAAAATTATATATCCATATAAAGTCCATAAAATACACCAATAAAAATTTGGTGCGTTTTCAAATTCAAAACTTGGTAATACTGCCTTTTGTACGATGCTTCCTCTTTTTCTTGTTGCGTTCGTCTTGCTCTCTCATTCTGGTATTTGCTGACGTCACGGCCAGTTGCTCTCAGCTCGATTGGCGCAATCTTGTATTCTATCATTCTTGTGATCTACATATAGTCACTAGACACGAATAAAGACGCGAGCTCAAAAGTTGGTCACGAAAAAGGCGCATAAAAAGAAAACTTCAGCGAAGAAAGACTCTTAACCAGCGTTACCGCTTTGGTCATTTTTAACCAAAATTGGTAATTTTTTTCTTTATTTGTCAAGTTTGGTAATTTAGTAATTTATTTTTCAATTTGGTAATTTTTTCCATTCGGTCTTACTTGTCAAATAGGTCAATATTGGTTCTGATTCCACATTAGAGAGTGGACCGTAAGCGTTTCTTTTATAGCAATACCAGGTAATCCTGAAAGTTTCGCCAGGCGAAAGTTGCTCCAGTGTCCCTTGGCTACTAGAATGGTGTGTTCTTTAACAAACTGCTTGAAAGTGGCTATTGCTAAGTATATCCACCGTGTCCTTTCCTGGAAGGTTTTGGGTGGTCCTACCTTTCCCTGTGAGTTCGTCAGCATTTCAATTACCATCAATTTGCCGGTGTACCTGGCAACCATATATATGAATAGAATTCTTCGTAAATACGTATGTTCTCGTTCAAAAAGCTACGGCATTCAGCGGGGGAATTCACCCTGTCTATGTGTGGGTCGAAAGCTTTCCTTGAAGCGTTGAATTTTTGATATTTTTTCTTGTCACTTTTTTACATACAGTGGTCGAAATAATTATAGCCGCACCATATTTTGACAAGATTTAACATATTATTTTTTTTTATAACATAATTTTGGTTATTTTTTATAAAAATACTAGCAAATGCCCGCTTGCTTCGCGGCGCCTAATAAGATCTTTTGCGTTGGCCAATACAAAAGTAGCGTTTAAAAGCAAAAGCAGTCTGTAAAATAGACATTTTTAGTTTAAATTGAAACGACTAAAAAGCGGAATCCTCCTCACATATATGCCAAGAATAGTAGCGCTGTGACTCCATATGGAATACTAATTCCTTTCGATGTCATGCGTTTTACCGATGGTCTTATTTCCCCCTGTGAGATCTCTGCCAAACGTGCGTAATATTCTTCTATGATCCCGCAAATTCAACATTGGTCCGATGTACCATGTAAGCCAATAAAAGTCCTTATACGGAAGCTCAAGAGCACAGATGAGTGTTCTGAATTATAGGAGGGGCAAGAAGCCTCGCTGTCCCACAGGATGAAAAGTTTTCCCGTACATTGGCTTAATGAGTCGTGTGATCTCATGAATATCGTCAAATGCAGCCATTGATATAGCTATCGTGTTCCTTCTTGGACAGATGTAGTCGAATCTTTGCTTGTCAATTCGCCACTTTTGCAATTCGTCTTAGGGCCGTTTGCACCATGTCTAGTTAACGCTAACTGGAGGTACATCCTTCAGTTAAGCACGTTAACTGCTTTATCGATCACATGTTATATGATGGGTGTCGATAACGTCGATAAAGATGTTTAACTGGGAGTTAGAATTAACTAGACATGGTGCAAACGGCCCTTAATATTTATGAATTGGTTTCTTTGAGCCTTACTGCTGTAATAACGGCCGCCTCGAACAACTTCGTCAATCGGAGGTAGATGCAAGATCACGCTTACACAGTGTTACGGTCTTTATATGCATATTTAAACGCATCCTTTATTTAGCCATCTGAAAAGTAAATTCGTCTAAGATAAACATAGGGCCTAAGCAGAACAAACCTCGTAGGGGTTCTATATATTTCGCCTGCAGCGTCATCATAGGGTCCTTTTTCTGCAAAACCTTCGCTTGTCATGAAATGTATACGCATTATGAATTCCAATCAGATTTTATAAAAAATACGGTTTTTCTAAATACCTAAACTCCAGCGGGTCCATTTTTAGCAAAGGATTTTTTCATCATACAGGTATTAACGCTGCGAAATTGAATGGCATCGGTTAATAATTACGACTTTTATAAGTAACTCTACTCCAGCACCAGCAGCGTGTTTTCTAGATAGGACCATTATAAATTAATATGTTGGTGTTTTTAATAGAGTTACCACTTATTCAACAAATTTATAACTATGAATGGTAAGTAATGTATTAAGGACATTCGATATTGCTATCAAACAAAAGCTGGTTAAGAGGGATTTTGTGTAATTGTATGCGAATTGTCGATGGTTGTCATAAATTTTCTAATTTATTGATTGAAATATTCTAGTTAATTAAAATGTTACAAAGTGGGCTTCAAACGACAACCTTCGTGTTTATGTGTTTCTTCTAAGAAGAACTATTAAAATAAAACTCAGATAGATTTTTTAACGTTGGGAAAAATAGTATAAAAACCCAACGATGTTTATTTGGCTGAATTCAAATTACTACTACTCTTACATTTTATTTCTTACATTCTTCTTGCTCTCGACATTCATTTATTTTGACATTTCGTTGATGCCACATCGCACCAAATTCGCTCAGTTCTTACCAATCCCCCCGAAAAACCATCAGGTTTTCTAATGCTACGACCCCTTGGCCAGTTCTCAGATTCTATTTCTCTTCTGTGTATATCGGCAGGATACATATCTTTTGTACTGGCCGGTGTAAAATGTTCGTCGCAGTTCGAATTGCCACTGAGCGTACCAAATTATCCCTACTGGGATGAAGTTCTATTATAAGGCCTATAGCCCATTGCGCAGGTGGAAAATTTTCACTCTTAATTAGCACCAACTATCCTAAGCGCACTCGCTCCGATTCTCGTCGCCACTTCTTGCGCTCCTGTACTGTTGTCAAATACTCGTTATGCCATCTGACCCAAAACGCGTTGATAATAGCCTGTCTCTCTTTCCATTGTTTAATGGCTTGCCATCTTGTGGTCGTAAATTACGTAGATCTGCAACATTAACTAAGGCAGCTGCTTGACGATCCAAAAAATCTAGCATTTGTTTAACAGTCGGTGTTTCTGTCTCTCGTTACTGCTTACTCGTATCAGGATCTAACCTTTCATGTAGCATATGAACTATAATCATATCTCAAGCATCGACCGAAATTCCTTGAGCTCGGAGCTGTCGTAACACTTCATGTGTCACATTGGACATTCGCTGAAGTTCATGAGCCCGTGGGACCCCTCCTATAACTGGCAAACGAATAAACTGCCGTAAATGTTCGCGACAAATTGGATATTTGCGGTCATACAGCTGCTTGAGCCGCTCCCATGCCTCTATATAATTATCATTTGTAAGCTGCCATTCACCGAGTGTTTGTGCAGCTCTACCAATGAGCGACTTTTTTAAATAAGAAAATTTAAAGGCTGGCGAAACATTCTTATTTTCATGTATGGCAGCGGAAAACCGGTCACGGAACCCAGACCACATAGTTAATGTTCCGTCAAAATTACCCCAGGTATTTTTTAAGTCATGCTGTTGATATGGTATGTTTACCTGGACCGCGAAGGGCTGCTGCTCATGCAAAATTGCCGCTGACACAGGTGTGAGCTCCTTGATCTTAACAGCCAACAGGGCTTGTGCCGTAAAATAGCGCGATTCCGCTAAAGCTGCGATGTCGTCATATGTACTTGCTTGTATAGCATCTTGATCCAACTGCTTCTCATGTGTATCTACAAATCGTCCATAATAAGCTTCCAGCTTCTCAGCGCGAACTTTCACTTGCTCCAGTGTTGCGTTTTTGAACTCGGTATGTTGGCAGTATTCCATGATGCGCGAAATTGACTTGCATAAACTGTCCAAAAGATCTTGTCCTCCCATTCTGCTGTCTATACAATAAAAAGAATATGTTAATTTACCCATTTCTAATCTTTATACACTTATCTCTACTTCTACAAAAAGTAGAGTAGATGGACTCACTGTCTTTCAACAATCTCTCGTCAAAATAATAATAAATATTTTCTCTATTTACTAGTAAATATTTCTCAAAATTTTATCGCGTTATGTTCTTGTCACAAACTGTCCTTTTCACGATTAACCAAATAATTTCATCATCAACGCTTCTTAGACGACGCCAGAATCTATCACGATACGACTGCTATTCTTTCATTCTGATACCTTTTCACTCTATCTTATATGCAAGCAATCAAGAATATCATCCAAATGGATTTCAATTCCAGAACGTTCGCTATTTTTCTTGTCGCTTGACGCCATCGTGTTGCCGTGTGTATGCACTTTTGGCAATTTCTCTCTATCTCTTAAAAGGTGCAACTATCTGTCGTCACACCAAGCACATACATATACATCTATCTCATGAGAAATAAATACCGTCTAGTGGACTGTAACACATAGTACATGCACATACACATCTACGCAAATATATGTATGTATACGCATGGCAATACTTTTCTCATCCTCTTTCTTTCACATAATCCTTTCACAAATTCTATAGAATTCCATTCTCTTCGCTCTTTTCACTATTACCATTTTCAAGGAATAATCATTTTTTCTTCTCGCAACAATTCTCGCATCATCTGTCACAACTATTCTTAAAGATTATTAAACGAATTCCCCTCCGAACTGCAATGTTTCAAAAGAGGTCGGTTGCCATTAATATAGTTGTTGCCACAGACGCGCATCCAGCTTATATTTCGTGCACCGCTGAAACCATTCAAAAGCACATAAACACACGTATACCCTGTGGGGAAAATCTCTAGTTCTGAACTGGGGCGCTTCTAGTACATTTAGACCCAGTACTGGTTCGCGATAAATCTCTTTTGCATGCAAGAACTGGCGAATTTAACATGGCGATGTCCTAGGAAGTGTCAATTGCCCCCCGCTGCATCCCTTTTTCGATATTCCGAACTAGTCCTAAAATATATAGTTCCGAACCAGTTCTAAAATCGACAGACGAAAGAAAAAAGTATTATGATTTTTCAATCTTTTCGGTTCTTCCGTGTGCATTTTACATTATTTTCAAAGAAACGTTTTTTCAATTTGAAATTAAATTTGTTTGAATGATTGTAAGAAATGTACGTTTACATACCTTGCTGTAGCTGACTTTGCAGAGGTGCTCGCTGTTATTGCTTAGATTCCAGATGGCCCCAAGATGTTAATATGTTAACACAAAGCTTTGTTTTGTATTACCAAGCAGTGAAAAAGCATCTGCGAAGCACAGAATAGAACACATATCTATGTAAAGTAAACAAGCCCCCCGCTGCATCCCTTATTCGATAGTTCCGAACTGGTTCTAAATTCGACAAATAAGATCTAGTTCGTTCTGCATCCCCTTTTCTATAGTTCCGAACCATTTCTAAATTCGTCACTTTAGATATAGATTTCTAGTGGAAAAACTGAAAAAAATTTGTTTTTTTAAAAGTACCACTTTTCGCGATTTTGGACTGGAGGGGATCTAGCTCCTATCGGACTGGTTCCTTTTTGGCGATAAAGACCTAGTACGGAACTAGAAATTTGATTCACCAGTCCGCGGTTTCCCTGCAGGGTATGTATGTGTGCATACACATACACAGCTCAACTCCTCCCCAACGAACACCATTACATTTCACAGAGCTTGCGCAAAGCTCGTTATCTATAAGCATGCGCACACAGATACGATGAAACAAAACCATCCCTTACTCTGTTTCTCTGATTGAAACCACTTGAAATGCCAACGAGTATTCTAGCAAGCGATATGAATTTCGCCACATCAAATTCCTTTGCACACATGCATGTATGTAAGCACTTCTAAATTATCTCTTATCTATATCGAGGCCGATCACAAATCCGGCTCGACACGGACCAATGTTTCTTCTAAGAGGAACTATTAAAATAAAACTCAGATACATTTTTTAACGTTGGGAAAAATAGTATAAAAACCCAACGATGTTTATTTGGCTGAATTCAAATTACTACTACTCTTACATTTTATTTCTTACATTCTTCTTGCTCTCGACATTCATTTATTTTGACATTTCGTTGATGCCACATCGCACCAAATTCGCTCAATTCTTAACAATATGTATGTAACCTATATATATTTTTTATCTTTCCAAAAACTTGTATGTATCGTAATATATTTAATGATCAATTATCGTTTACTTTCAGTAAATTTTTAACTAAGTGGCAACCCTCGAACAAACATATCTTAAGTAGTGGTACATTGGTCCTTAAGTAGTGGTACATTTCCACAGTTTGAAAAAAGATGTAATTATTTTTGTTTCAATACCACACTCAAACGAAGCAACAGAGAAGATCTTAAGTATAAAGTTTGCTTCCTGGCGCAAATAGAAAAACTGACTTCTAATTAAAATTTTTGAAAGTTAACTCCTAATTAAAAGTAATTTTAAAATGAAATGTAAATGATTCTTTGACTTTAAGCACTGAAGGGGAAATGATTTCATTATTGCTATTCAAAAACTACTTTTTGAGCAAAAACAAAACCAACTTAAATTCTCATATAAAAACTTAGGACTAGCGTGCATTTCTTCATGATCAAATGATTGAAGCTAAACCAAATTAGTATGGGACCACCCTTGATGTACCACCTTTGCGATGAAATCGAAATCGGTTCACATGATCCAAAGTTCCATAGTTACATAAAAAAAATATTCCGACGAATTGATAAACTTCTCTTTTTTTATGTTAAAATGAACAACATTTTTTTTTATGAACTGAATTTTTTTTATATACCCAAATATTGTTAAAAATAAGTACTCTGGCGTTTTAAAGTATTTTCTGTTACTTACATTCATAAGTTTGCTTTGAATAAAATTTGTACTGAAAAGTATTGATTTTTATAGCATGAAGAAGCCTAAAGTACTGATTTCGCGCAAGAATAATCTGGCAACCCTACTTTCGCCCCTCTGAAAGAATTTTAAAAATTCTATACAAATTTTTTATGTTTGAAATGCAGCCGTGAACACAAGCTGGCCGGGAAACTTGCAATTGGCGTTCGTGTAGAACTTTGCAGGTTTCTCTACTTGAGAGAGAATTTAGGAGCATTTTCTCGTACTATCTGATATTTCGAGAGATAATTCTCGCTGGATTTTCGACGAACAAACCTATTGTCTTCCCAGAGAGTTTTGCTTTACATAGAAATTTGTGCTTTTTATTTTCATTTTGACGCATTTCAGTGGTGGTTCTTCTAATTCAAGTTTGCCTTCGGTTTTTCGAATTTAAATAAGTTCTCAGCAAAAAAAAAGTTTGTTTAAAAAAATAAGAAAGTAAGGCAAATAGCAAAATCGACTAAAACGGCTAATTTTTTTTGAAAAACGGCTAACAAATCGGCTGCCGGCTAAACCGAAATTTCTCCGGCTGTTTGCTATCGCAAACGGCTAAATCTAGCCGAAAAACTAAAATGGCAACACTGATAAACATAACATAAAAAACGCGGAGAGCTGCTTGCGAATCTTGCTGCTCTTATTACAACGCTTTTATCAACTTGCAATGTTGTGTGTCCAGAAACTTTCAATGTTGTGGATCCAGAAACTTTCAATGTTGTGTGTCCGACACCATAAAACCTTTGCTTTGAAAAGTTCCTATAAAAAAGCATAGTGCATAGGGCGACATCTGTAGTGAATAGGGCGAGGTAGATGACATCTAGATGTCGCCCTATGTACTA